ATCAAGTTAAAATATTTATAGATCATCATTCAACTCTAGTGAATCCTGATGGGAAACTGATGCTTCATAGACAGCCCAGTTGTCTCATATGGTCACTATATGTGGCTTTTAACCTTCAAATAACAGATCTTATGCAAAGAGCATTTTGTAATCCCAAGTCCTTGCCTTTTTTTTTTTTCTAGTAAATGTAAAATGTAGAAAATGTAAAAATACATTTTAGGCGATTAAAGTATGATGCCAGTTTAAGAATGATTTTGGTGAAGGCTGGCAAGAAATTTCCAGCTGGATCCTACTTTAAGAAACTCCCCCTTTTTTTTAATTTAAAGAAACGCCCACTTTCAAATAGAAAAAAAAGTTTTCTTAAAAGAAAAATTATCTCATGTAGGAAAAGCCAAATTTTACAAAATTACTTTCAGATTCCTTTAAGAAGGCTCTCTGGAATGGCTTAATAAAGTATTAAATATGATGTAGCTATTACATAATTATGAGCTCTGTACAGTGGCATAGAGAATATATATCACTTAAATAATATAAATAATATAAATAATATAAATATATCACTTAAATAATATAAAGTGGTACTGACATGTGAGTGCAACATACAAAAGAGAAAATAGCTGCCAAGTTAAGGTAGAAGCATTAAGGGTATTTTCTCCCCTAAAGTTGTTTAGTTATTACATCATCCTTTTCTTTAAAAAAAAAGTTTTATTGTAAAAAACATATTAGTTATATGACAAGGTATTTTGAACCTCAGGAGGCCCATTGCTGTGAACGTATCTTGGAATTTATAGAAATCAATGGTCAAAGTGGATGAACCAACTTATAGAGTTTTAACTTACCCGTGGCCTGTCAGGGACATATAAAATGAGACTGACTCCTGTTTATTGACTCAGGAAAATAAATCCAACAGAACCTGGTGGATGACAGACCCCTGAAGACTGTCAGCTGGTCTGAGACACTAGGGTACTAGAGTCAGCTTGTACTGGTTTGTGAGGACAAATTGTTAAATTTTCAGGAGTTTCTGAGCTGGTGCCAAGCTGAGGCATCATTAAAAATTAAAGTATATAAACTTACAACTAAATAAACTATACTAAAAGCAAAGTTAATGAAAACTCAAAACTCATTACTTCCTAATTATTTTGTTGAATCTCACTAATCATTTTGTTATATCTTACTATTATTTCCTGCTCTTGAGGTTATTTATGTCTATTGTATCCGTGTGGCGGAAATACCACACAGCGGTGTGCTACAGCACACTTCTTCCCAGCTCTGCTCAGTGACATCACATTAGTAGCTTGATATTGGCCTTGGAGGGAGTGGTATACATCAGGGAAATCAGCAAATGCTACACACACATCTGGGCTCTCTCCCCTCAACTCTCCAGAGTGAATAGCTAACGATTTATCAGCACATCACTGTCCAAAGTCTCCTGCCTGACTTTTGGCAGTTCCATTATCTTGGCCTCAACGATTCGTTGCTGAAAGAATGATCCAGACACGGCTTCCCACTCAAGGTCCCGTAACACCAGCTTGCAGTTCCATCCCAGCCCTTCAGGGGGAGCAATCTTTACCGACCCGTGAGGACCCGATTCCACTCACCTGGCTTTTCACCAGTTTGGGCAGGCTGGCACCAGGAGTTTCATGACACCGTTGGCTAAGGGGTTGACCATGAGGAGATCCTTTCAGAGAGAGAAAGGGAGAGAGCTTAGGAAAGGTCTGAGATGATCACCCCTCCCCTTGTTTTACAGAAGGGAAGACTGAGGCCATGGGAGAAAGGAACTTGCCAAGGTTACTGGGCCTGTTGGAGACAAGGCTGGGAGTACCAGCGTGGGCAAACTACGGCCCGCAGGCCGGATCCGGCCTGTTTGAAATGAATAAAACTAAAAAAAAAAAGACCGTATCCTTTTATGTAATGATGTTTACTTTGAATTTATATTAGTTCACACAAACACTCCATCCATGCTTTTGTTCCAGCCCTCCGGTCCAGTTTAAGAACCCATTGTGGCCCTCGAGTCAAAAAGTTTGCCCACCCCTGGAGTAGACTCTGTCTACTGAGCCAGGTGTGGATAGTAGCAGGGAGTTCTCAGGGAGCAGGGGCCGGGGGTTGTCATAGAAATGTGTGCTGGACACTGGGACAACGGCAGTTGGCATTTCTTCCCGTCCCCCTGCTAAGGGGAAGTGGAGGGAAGCACCACGGTTTTGAGCCCCTGCTGTGTGCCCCATACTCTGCTGTGCTGAGTTAGTTACAGCTGTGGCCTGAGCTATCCTCTCACTGCAGCTTGAGTGAGGCACAGGGAGGCAGCCCAGCATCACC